CTCTAAGACACCTTTCTTTCCACACACGGTTTCGTGGGTGAGCCATGGTTCGAATCCACATTGGCTTGGAACGATTGAGAGGAGCTGCTGTGTTCGCAGAACTTGTGAGTGGACATCACAATTGAAGGTAATTTTTCTAAGTAGTTTTTCATTTAACCTTTTTTCGAAGACGTTTAAATCTGTATGCTGGTGGCCGAAATATATCCTGGACGCGTCAATGAATCTCAGTTACTCGACCAAATTTATGATACAACTACAAAATTTTGAGTAATAATTTTTTACTTTCTGAAGAAATATTGGCACTTTTTGTCAAAGTTTACCATTTGCATGTAAAACATGTAAACACTAAAAGCGGAAGTTTTTGCACTTCCGTTTCATAACTTCGCTTCACCTCATTCTAATTTTATTCTGAGAAACGCTCACAATTTTGATTCATTCGTTGATTTTTTGGTTCTTTGCAGACTACTCTCAACCTTTTAGCAGAATATATTGTTCAATGAGAAAATAGTATCACAAAGGTACGAGAATGTGATGGTGAAGTCCAGCTGGTCATTCCAAAGTGCAAGCACATCTTAATGGAGATGATGACATCGAGAGCTATAGACTGTATATTTCACTCAAATTGCTAGTCAGTCATGGACATTCCTTTAGCGAAGGAGAGTCTTCGACTTTCTCGCAGAGATTTTCGTGTGTCCTTCTCAAAACAGTATCTGTTTTCAGAGCGCATACATTAAAATACTCACTGATATTTACTTACTACTTATTAGTGACTTCGTCATAGGTAAATAAATGTAGAAAGAAGCAGTGCGGTGTTTTTTGCACAATAGGAACGATTATCGAAAAAATCGTTCTACGTTCATAAGGATTTTGTTCCATGCAACAGTGATCAGTAAGTTGGCAGCGTTTCAATACTGCCGAGATGTTCGTCCTCCTGTCTAGTCAATTTCGGAGGTTTCTATAGAAGTCCATCAAGGAGCTAGTCAAAAGTGCCCATATAATCGAAGAAACTTTATTTCTTACGTCCTCACACGTCTACTTTAACCGATTTACCAAGCTGTCGTCATCATTCTAGAGGTGGAGACGCGTAAAGGCAATCACTAACCAAATAAGTTGATTAAAATACACTATTTTCGCAATGCTAATGTCAATTTTCATACTTAAAAAATAGGGTCTGCTCCATTTTTTTCTCTTAAGAAATTTACGTTGCCTTTTCTCGATGAACGCGCACAATATTGATTCAATTTAATTACCTAAGTTTGAGTTGAATCGAATGCTTCCAAAAATGGCTGCTCTTTCTACCTTCATGTATCGCCGAGAAGTGATGACGTCGATAAAAGGATTGCACGAGCGGATAAGAGTACTGAATGGTAGAGTTCCTAATATCGTCAATGAAATGACCACAAAGAAACCGGATGTCGCTATAAGCGAACTTAATATGAACGTCGCAGTACTTAATCTACATTTGGTACAAATGAAGTACAAAATAAGCAGACTTGAACAATTTTTAGTCGATGAGTTTACAAGCGTCTCATTGCATAAGAGAAGTCCATACGCAGCATCGGAAGAAGCTGTTGAGGTAACTGAGAGATTTCTGCGCAGAAAACGACGTTTCCAACCTTGACGTGATGTCGTCCGACCCGCCTTTGAATGTGCTATCTTGACAAGCGATAACGTCGAATTGGATGAAGCTAAAGAGAAATCACGTTGGGCTAGACGTTGTTCTCGCTCGCTCTCAATTGTGAAAAGAGTGTTTCGGCGGTTTACTCGCTCGATTACGCCAAGTCGTCGATTCCTTATTCACAGTGACATTAGCGCAGACGTCACTCATCGCGAAGATATTTGACTTTTACTGCTTTTATGATTTTTAATATGACACTTGAGCCTATCTTCTTTGATCTCTAGCTACATCATTCGCGATATGCAAGAGAAGCTTTGTCCTACAAATTCATTTTTCTACGTCTTCCGTAAATGTAATGTTTCCATTTTCTTAATTGAAATGCAATAAAACACAATAAGACAGCTGAAAATTTTTGTGACAGTGTGACGACATTTAGAATATATGAGTGGGAATAAAAAGAACACACACACAATATTGCTGACATTAAAATGGCCTGATGGGACTGATCTTCAATGACGATTCGAGGGCCTGGAACCACAAAAATGCTTTGAGGAAAACGATATTTCTGATGCTTTTGAAACCCCGAAAACATTCAATATAATCCCAAAAAAAGAGTGATTTTAGCTCAAACGGGGTCGATACGCCAGGGTCATACACCGGTGTTTCGGAGGTTCGTCCTCCTCGTCAGTGACCCCCGCCCCACATTCAGCCCTGCATTGAAGCAAGGAGGGAAGCGTATGTGCTGATGGAACAGTGTACAATGACACTGGTCCATCACCACCTCTCAGTCGATAGATTTTTTGCTGTTAGATCAAAACTAATTCAAAAGATCGACTGCTTTTGAAACCCGAAAAAAATGCAGGACTGAATGTGGGGCGGGGGTCACTGACGAGGAGGACGAACCTCCGATACACCGGTGTATGACCCTGGCGTATCAACCCCGTTTAAGCTAAAATCATTCTTTTTTTTTGAGATGATATTGCTGATGCGTTAGCCATTCAATTTCATCACACTGTATTCAGTAAATTTCACTACTAACATCCACGTATCTTCTCACCAAAAAATGCACGAAACTACTTAATCAGTGCTGGGTTAATTTTCACAACTTTCGAAAAGTTTCTTATAATACGTACAAAAATGACGAGATCATGAAAAAGTTGGTAGAATCCTATCTTTGAATAAAGTTCTACGAGGGCCTAAAAGTCAGTAAAAATGAAAAGCTTTCCAGAGGAAATGCTGATATCCTACTAAACATTGTCTCATAAGAAAGGAAGCTCAACAGTTATAGAACTAATCCTTCTGGTAAAAAATTCTTCTCCTCTTTTTTGAAAGTTATCTGGAGTCACTAAGAAATTTCCGCTACCCCAAGAAGAATTGCTTAGTTATTCTAGAATGGCTGCTTAGTAGCGTCGAATATAACTTACTATTCACTGGTTATCATGCGATTATTGGAAGCGAGCATTGATCCCAATGCAGATGATGCAAGAAACGGTAGACGATCTTTAATTCACTTAAATATTTCTCAGTTCAAATTGCTTTTATAGCTATAATTTTCCAGCTCTTGATACATTCTGAGGTTGAGGATCTCATCTTTTGTAGACTAGGACACCTTTCTTCGCTTTTCCTCATCAGTCCGTATTTCGCGCGCGAGAGCTATTGAATAAGAGGGATTTCGTTGGGACAATATCAAGACGTTCTCCATTCGTGCCGCTGATGTTTATGGCTGTCTTGTGTGAAAATTTCCAAAATTTCGACTTGGTTAATTTTTTTAATAAATTTTAGTCCTAAACATTCTAGATGTTAGAAACTAGCTTACGAAATTATGCATACTTTCAGATAATAGCTTACTTACCAAAAATTGTCTTTGGACACGACAAATTCATCGGGACGCCGTCGCCGAGTGGCTGTGTCGCTAGTCGCGACATGCGGGGTACTAAACCCCACCCCCTAATACTCTGGGGCAGTCAACATCGAACGCTCTGTGAGACGCCACAACCAGGCTATTCCTCGAGATGCAAAGGGTGTGCTCACCCTGTATTCTACGGAGTTCAATAAAAAGAAAGGAAACGAGTTGTATGGTAGAAATGAAGAAAAGCACTGGGAAGACGTATCAGTGAAGTGTCGAAAAGTGGCAGAGTGAGAATTTCACATATACGCTGATCTCGTATGTTAAGAGCATATAGTATGAAGCAGTAGACATTCATCCCTAGAAAAATCGACAGAAACTTATTGAGAAATGGATTTCAGACAACCGCAGATGATACTAAATGTGCAACTTGCTTATGCAATAAATACCGTAAAATCTGTCTCAGTGGTATTCGTTGCTCAATCTTTTGCATACAGAACACTCAATGAGAGTTCTGAATCCAAATTCCTCTATCTGAGTCATAAAGACATCTTAGAAGTATTCTACTCAACATTACGCAATTTTTCCAAAAATTTCCTGCTTTCCGTCTACACAATTTCTAATTTGAAACAATTTCCAACAGATCTTATGTATACAGCAAGATTGGACAGGTCAAGTGGAAATTTTCGGTAAAATTTCTCCCTTTCGATACAGAGGATGAGCGAAACATAGAATAAGGCAGAAAAAGAACTTTGTTCTAAATTTTCTAAAATATTAAATGCCATAGTAATATCAGTTTTTACATAATACTTTAGGTGAATTGGCATCACCACATATCTCAAGGTATGAGACACAACTTCACAAAAAAGACTAATGTACTCTAATTTTGAAAAATATGGAAAGTATTGAGTCACTTCTTGTTCAAAATGTTAAATAGAAGTTATGCATGTGAGTGTTGCTCATCAAGCATCTTTTATTCGAAAATATCAGGTATATGTAAAATATTGAGCGATATGCAAAATTTTGAAACTCAGTTAAGAGTCGAACTCGAGTTCCACTTTTGTGGGGGCGTGTGACTTCATCACATCACTGAGGCCATTGACCAGATATTACTCTTACTGTAATAGAGGTATCGATGTGGGAGGCATATTTGGCATCGTTTCTATACACTAGAGTGGTCAGTCCGAGAATGTTTAGATAGCGAACATTACTAGAATTGCAGAGGAGAAAATTCTCATAATTTCTTTGGCTCTTCTTTTATTGTATTCTTTGGTGATGAAACCAATGACAGAAAGCTGATAATGATAAATAGAGGCGAAAACGTCAAAACGTTAACCAATAAATCTTTTGTTATCAATCTTATGTTCCTGGCTCAATAAACAACAAGTATATGATCGAAACTGATGCCGAAGTTGAAGGAGTGTCTGCTTACAGATTACGCTTTTATAGGTCGAAAAAAAAAGTTCAGTGTCAACTTATGCATACAAGAAGTTTTAGAAACAATAGTACTAATCATAGATGCGACAGCAAAAGTAGTGCACCAAGCAAGAGTCGAACCGGTATCTGTACCTTGGGAGGGTACAATGATGCCGCTACACTAATGGTGCGATGCGGACTGGCAGTTCTCGCCACATTCGTTGAATATAACACCAGCACTAGTAGAAATAACATGCCTGACAGTGTGATATTATGTCGAAGTACTCAGGTAGCAGATCTGATTGTTCAGTTGGATTACCGCTAGGAAGCACTAGTCCGTAACAATGAGAATCAACTCCGTCGTGCTATCACCTTCTTATAGTACCTGTCTATGAGTATAAACAACAAATGCAGTTCTAGCGCCCACTTTTTGATAGGTCAGTCTACTATAAAACTTTTGTGATACAGATCCTAGGATGTAATCTTCAGACACCCCAAAATAGAGCTACTTAATCTTTTGCAAACGGCAGTTGTAATAGTTGCGCTTAGCGCTTGCGCAAGTAGATCGCGATTTCCTTTATTTAATTAGGGTTTCTTCTCAATTTCCACAGAAGTTTTCGACTTTCCCTTTGCTTGGCGCACCATGTTTTTCCATACGCCTTCCCATGTAATTTGCATGTAAAACTCTTCCAAGTGAAGAAAAAGCACTTCTTGACCATGCAGCTGTGCTACTATTGGCGAACAAGCAGTACAGAGAAAGTTCTTATGACGCAGCTTACAGCATAAATTTCAATTTTAAGATTCTTTTATTCAATGCAATGGCGGAAAATGAAAAAAATGCACCGAAAATCAGAAAGCAATGAGAAAGTGTGGTAAAAAATGGCATTGCTCACTGTATGTGGTGTGAGCTCGTCGATACTTTCAACAATTTTTCAATGTTAGGATGCATGGGCGTTGTTTGTAGTAAACAAAAAAACTTTCGTACAAGATTCTTCAGTGGTACTCGGTTTTTATGACCTCAAAATACTGCACAGTTCTATACTTTGTTCCCCATCACTCTGAAGGAAACAGATTGGTAGCAAATTTACTAAGCAGCACAGACGCAATGATTCACTATATCACGAAGCTTTCGGAAGTTATTAGATAGGTCAAGTATTTTCCACTAACCACTGCCGTTACGGTGTTGATTAATAAACACTAAAAGAGTAAGAAAAGTGAGGGAGTAATAGAAAATCCATACCTCATAATTGTTATCTGAGCCATCTTGTTATGTGGCCTATTGATGGGCTCTTCTACAGCCCTATACTCAAGTTTCGACCTTTACAGTCACGTCTGTCGGGTAGAACACTTTGTCTTTTAGTTGTCCCTATGTGGGTGCTCCAGTCCTCCACACTAAGAGTAGGCTAGAATGAACAACTCACACCACACTGCCGTCACATAACAAGTTGGCTCAGCTAACATTAAACCGAATGATGTGCAAAAACGTTTTTTGCACACCACTCTACATCATTGGGCTTATTGTAGCATGATAACACCGCAATGGGCGGTCAAATAAAATGGTTTCAGATAACAGTTATGAAACATATTGAAATTTGAGCATGGTCTCAAGAAAACACTCGAAACGAACGGAACCATTTCTTTCAAAAGACCGGCCAAGAGCAATCGAGTGTACAAAACTGCCGATCTAATGAATTCCACTTTACAGCAGTGCAGTGTACATCGTTCGTCGTCGCATACTCATAGTATGGGGGCTGGAGCACTCACAGAGAATTGGCTAAAAGACGAAGGTTCTGCCTTACTGACGTGACTGTCAAGGTCGAAACAAATGTCTCACGTTGTACAAGAACCTATTAATGGACCACTTGACAAGTAGGCTCAGACAATAATGATGAGGGATATACTAAAATTTGAGAGTCGTCTGAAGAAAACATTTGAAACGAGTGGTAAAACTAAGCAAAAGAAACTCATGGAGGAATAAACTTTGAAAATAAACTAAACATGAGTAATGTAAGGACCCAGTAGATTCATAAGAAAGATCTCAGCTCAGTCTTTGCATTTATATTCTTTTGACTCAATATGTAATGTAAACAAGCACTGATATTTTCGCTCCCAACTAAAAACAAAGCAAACACATTACATCCCATTAAGTCCTTAAGAAGCCATCATAAAAATCCAGTCCAGAGTTTTTACCCCCTTGTCGTTTCCACTTTGGATGATGCTGCATAATCCTAAAATGAAACTGGAATCATTTAGGTCATTGTTATGAAAAACTAACTTGATAACATGACCTTGAAGGACTAGGAACGTCTAAAGCAGTTGCATTTGAAATGAATATGAACTTTGAAATCATACAGCACCTACATTTTCTGTTATCTAAAGCGAGATGCGAAAAAGCTGTAAATCAGACGGCAATTCATATAAATATGAATCAAAATAAATATAAGAACAGTCAAGACGAATGAACGATTGATCGCAGTTGAAGCCTATTTGGGTACTATGTGAAAGGCCCTGACCATGCCGCAGTACTCGTCGCCAATAAACTGAAGCACTCTCGAAATGATTCCGCCCTACTGATAGTCGTAAAATACATCTGACATTTAACCCAGCCAGGTCTCAAGAAATCGTCTCTCCACTAGTATTTCGTAAAGCGCGAGGCCAGAGATCGTTGTGGGTGTCATGGTCGTAGCGGCCGTAAGTGCAGGCAGCGCACGTCATCAGACGACAGTCACTAAAATGCGACGGTGTCGATTTTAGAAAGGCGAAAAACCACGTCGGGTAAAGGCTTCCACGCTAGGCCCCGGCCGACCCCGTGGCCCCGCTGTGTTGCAGGCCAGGATACCTTTAACCTCTCGCTCCGACGAAGAGTCGGCAGACAGCTACCTTGACCTCCTCGACGGCGGTATTGCCACGCCGCCCCCGCGTCTCTGGTTCTAGCCTGCTCGCCCCTTCAGTGTGGTCTGTTTGGTTATTCCTTAATTGAGTAGTTTAAAAGTACTTTTACCTCGTTGCTTAACAATCTAAACAATCAAAAAACTCCACTGAAGGGATGGCATCACTGGAAGGCAACTGCAGTTCTATGAGAGGATCCAGTAGCTCGACAGCGACAACAAGCATGAGGACCACTTGATAAGATGGAGGACGTGAGTTACCCATGAGGAACTTCTTGATCATTTATTTGCACCTCTCTGAATTGAATTGCGATTACGTTTTAGACAACGATCGCGTCAACGACGACCGTCGTTTCCACGAACGCCACAGAGAGCGCACTCTCACGGAAGCCACGTAGGTTTCAAATTTACGTGAGATTTTCTACAAGAGTCATTTTTTCAACTAGAGCTCTTGCGAGGTTTCTATCACTTATTCAATCGAATATCCCTCTTGACAATCGATGGATCTTTTTGAATGATGGTGGCTGCCGTTTCTGCGCGGTCGCCTTCCTCAGAACCTGAACGTAATATTGTGACTCTAACTATGTAAATATAATAATATAGATAGTAATTATTATTATGACTATTATAATTGCAATTACATGATTAAAGTTAGGATAATGCACCCAGGCTCTGAGGAAAGCCATCGCGCCGAAACGTCAAGCACCAGAACTCATGAATATCCATCGATCGTCAAGAGCGACTATCGATGGAATAAGCGATATGAACCTCACAAAAGCTCGAAGTAAAAATTAGTTCCTGAATTATACTACTCTTTTTTCTTTTTCTCCGCATTATATTAGTAATGTCGAGGTTCAAGGAACGTCGCCCTTTTGAACAATCATTTCCTTTTCATAAAAAGGTCGGCTATACTTTTGTGTAGGTTAGGCTAACTCGGGGTGCCTCACGCAGAGAATAGATGGAGAACAAGGGGTAATATAGCGCAACTCTTCTTGCATGTTCAGTTTTTGAACTAACCATATAAACATGAATGCGAAAGAACGTTTCCAGTGTAAGAACTTTTTAGAGTCCTTATTTTTTCACATCACGTTACTACTTCGCACATTGTTTTGTATTGTTGAACTGTATCTGCTGTCTCAAACCGTGTTTAATCTACCACTGAACTTACTCAACCCCTTGGGTGGCAAGTGGCATGCATATACGCCGTCGTTCTTCACGTCTCACGCGGAGTGAATAGTATATCTGTGCACGCTGTAATGGTGATATATGATTATATTTGGTAAATATTGGGTTTTAGGAACTAATATCATCATAATTTGTTTAGATACGGCCAAGAAGACTTTTGTAAAGGTTTTTTGAATTGAAAAACTCCCATATGCCAAAAATCCCCTAAATTCCAAAAGGAAAACAGCATCGCTGCGGAGAGTTCTTTATAATTTCTGCTATGAAACATTCGTTTCTTTTTCACAGTCTATGCTTTCATAATCACTCAGCCGCCTGAAATGTGCCAGTTTTGATACATTGGTTGGTTTGTAAAACGACCTTCATATTATGTTTGCTTACTTGGATACTTGGATATCCAGTGCGGACTGCTAGTGCGGGGCCCAACATAGTTTCCTTTCGTTTTTCTCTTGCGCAGTTTTCGTTCATGGTAATAGTTTATTTCAACCATGGTAACGTACTCGGACCCATTACGTGATTCAAAACTCATCTGAACTCACATCATCATCTAAACTTTCATCTGCTGATAAAGATGGTTGGCGTTAGCCACAAACACCCTAGCAAATCGTTTGGGTGATCTTCCAAGAAAGGCTTGCATTTCCTCGGAGTCCATGGGATACTCCGTCTTATTAACGCAAAATGTGACGTTTTGCTGTTGGTATACATTGGTTCTACTTCACAGCCGATTTTTTGGTACAACATGGTAGAGTTATAAATCCAAGCAAGTTTGGTATGATAGAAAAGTTAGGAAATACTCCATATTCTTATGACTATAACGCATTACTTTACAAATAAACATTTTTCGAACTGTTCTGGGAAGTTTCTTCTTATTTAGCTATGTTTTATACTCCTTCAATTTCACGAGAAATGTTGATTTTTATAATGAGCTTGATTCGCTTGAGGACTTTCATCGTACATCCTAGAGACGAAAAAATAGATGTTGTTTTGCTTATCATATTCACGTGAGATTTTTTGATTTTATTTTTCAAAATTGAAATTCTAAGTAAGTTTTCCCATCTGCTCCTAAATTTTTTGCTTTACATTAATTACACTGCTTCCAAAGGATTTTTGAATCAATGAAATATTTTTGAAACTAATAAATTGCCTAAGAGAATTAAGTGGGGAACAAAAAATTAGCCTCAGGCGGGAATTAAACTCTCGTTTGATCCTATCCGAGAACGCGTGTTCTACCACTAGACCACAGAGGCAGATTTGCACGACCACTCATTCTTCAACATCTATGTTAGATATCAGCCACCAACCTTTAACAGGTTTGGTCGGGTATGCGATTTCGCTCTATAAACCCAGTAGAGCTGATAGCCACTGTTAGATATAATACTCAAGAATTCTAGCATTTTTACTATTTTTTCGCAGTGTTGCGATGTTTCATAGTGCCTAAAAGAACTGAGTGGTGTGGTGAGCAAAAACGTGGCTTCAAGCGGGAATCGAACCCGCGTTTTATCTTATCCGAGGACGCGTGCTCTGCCACTACACCACCATGGCACAGTTGCAGACTACTCATTCTTCAACATCTCTGCAATAGATATCTGTCAATTCATTCCTCAACATGTCTATACTAGACGTCAGCCAGAGTGGTCGGGCAGATATGTCTCGGTGGTGTAGTGGCATAGCACGCGTCCCTGGCTAGGATGAAACGCAGGTTCGATTCTCGCCTGAGGTCACGCTTTTGATCACCACTCAGTTTGCCTAGAAATATATGAAGAATCATGACACTGCGAAAATTACAGTAAAAATTCTAGAATTCTTGAGTATTGTATCTAACAGAGGCTATCAGCTAAACTTGGCTTATAAAGCGAAATCGCATACCCGACCAAATCTGTTAAAGTTTGGTGGGTGAAATCTAACATAGAAATGATGAAGAATGAATGGTCGGGCAAATGTGCCTTGGTGTTGTAATGGAAGAGCACGAGTTCCTGAATAGGATGAAACGCGGGTTCGATTACCGCCTGAGGCCATGCTTTCGCTCACCACTCAAATCTCTTAAGTATTTTTGAAGCATCATAGCACTGCGAAAAAGCAGTAAAATTGCTAGATTTCCTGGCTATCAAATTAGTTAACAACCATCCATTTTTTATTTAAACAGTGGTCGTTTTTGTGATTCTATGGAGTCTTAAAATTTCTTCTGCGTAAAAACTTCAGGATTACACTGCACTTAAAGATCATTGCTTTTACGATTGACTCAAAAGTGAGTAAGCCCAAGGTTTACCAACAACAAGCGTTACATCTTTTTTGCTAATAAAACGTGGGTCAAAGAATGCTCTAACTTTGATACGACTGCAGCACCATCGCTCGCAATCTAAATGAGATGGGCTGCCCCAAAGTGATGTCTCGATGGACACTGCATGAATTCATCGACCTCCTTACTTGCAAAATCGGCTCACCACATTTTGAAGAAACTGGGCTGGATTACGGCGTCACATCTACCGCTGGTAATGCTCCATCGATTGCGAACAGCAGTGGACCATTGATTCAATTCTACCGGCTCCGATGAGAACCATGATATCCAAGCAAAAACTGAAAAAAGTTACGAAGCAAAGTCGTGTGAACAAAGCAATGTAGACTTATGTATCGTATATAATTCTAAAGGCAAAAAATAACACAATGAAGACGTCTTTAATTCTCTGTGCAATGGCGGTAAATATTTGCGTTGCCTGGAGCTATGCCGACTAGTGCCGTTTCTTCTGAACAAGGATAGATCTATTCAAAGAAGAATAGCCGAAATATATCGTTCCGTCTATAAATTGTAATACGACACTTTACTAATCCGTCTTCACAGTTTTTCTTCTGTGTGAATTCCAGTACTTCTAGCATTTTTATTCGTTTTTTGGTCTTCCTTTGAAAGTAGTAGAATACTGATTTAACAAGTCTCCTTGTGATTTTGAGGACAACCTGGTTGTAAACGGCTTGTTGTTGACTGCTGGAGAGAGTTGCGGGTGGAAGGTTGGTAGAATTCGGCTCTACACACGCCGCACCAAGCATCACAACCAGAATTGTATTAGAATTAATTAAATATTTCATTCTGTGTCAAGTTATCCGCAAACTAAGCTAGCCGTTTAGGTCTTCATGATGATATTTTATTTACGTCTATGTATGTGTTTATTTATTTATTTACTTTAATTATACAAAGTAGTTTCAATCCTTTCACTTCTCGTATTCTTTGCATTTAGATATCCACTTCCAAGCGAGTTGCGAAAGCACATGAAACGTGTTCAAGGAGCACAGAGTGAAATGTGAGGAGACTAATACTTGTATAGATGGTGTCCTGTGGCCATCGTTAACGGTTTGTACTCTTACGAGTTCTGTTTTCTAATGATATTAAATTGGCCAAAGAATTTCTACAGTATTTTCAAGCGGTTTTTTGTGAAGTGGTATGTCTTAGCTTCGGCTGGTCTTCTGGATCTTGATCTGTTGGTCAACTCTTTATTTCAGGCCTTGAACCCATGAATTCGCTCGCCGTCTGTTGATTTTCCAACAGTAGTGCTGCCGCGAGCTTTGTTGATTCGAAGAGCAACATCAGCATCATCTGAACCAAATTTGTACTTGTAAAGCATCAACAAACGTTTTTGCTCCTTAGGCAATTCCATTCTGCAGTAGATGTAGACAAATCATGTGTCAACAGATGTGCAAGAAACGGACCTTTCGAATGATATGAAAATCACACACGATTCATGAGAATAAGCGACATCACCATCCAAACGATAGAAATTTTCTTTCCAACCTAATATTATGGCCGATAAACCAAGATCCGGAAGACCGCGTTAAATTGATTGAGTAGCAATCATTGAAGTGATTGAAGAAAATCCGACTTTGTCAACCGGTGATTTGGCCGGTTATTCCACTATGCTCAGACAAGCAGATCCGAAAGCTTTGAAAGATGCGCAAAAGAAATGGTGCGAAGGCAATGGATTCCGCACGTTCTCACACAAGCTCAGAAGAATACCAGAAAGTAAATTGTGTAAGCTAATTTCGTCGTAATCGCCGCTTTTTAATTTTGTGAAGAAATGTCGTCATTACTTTTTACTTGGAGAAGTGAATTTTTGAATATTTGTATCAAGTTCGTAAACATAGTTGGAGACCTCATGAGTACAACATCCGCGCAGCTCCTCCTACCCTTCGAAAGCCTTCCTGCTTTTGCCTCTGTGCTATTTTTTCATTAGCAGAAGGACAAACTTGTTAGTTCTCAGGAGAAATCGTTCATGGTGTTAATTGGTGATCGATAGTTTGATACGAAATCATAGGCGATTAAGTATCGACCACTAACAACTTGAGGAATATCAAATAGAAAAGAGACCAACTTCCGCACAACCTTTGGGAGACTAAACACACCTATGATGACGCTTTTGTTTTCCTTTTACTATCGTGTTTCAGAATTATATAATTCCAATCGACTCAATCGCCGATAGGTCTACCATGCGCTCCAAAAGGACAGCACGATGAAGAACTCGAAGAACAGGTTCGCTTAATGCTTTAGACTTTTCGAGCACCACTTATGGTGCACAGTGTCGTACCGTATCAAAATTTCGTTACAGGAACAATTCTCCGGTGAAGACGAAGAATCTTATGAAGATAAGGGAAAAAATTTTGTTTGAAGAATCGCCTCGTTAATTGCCCTCTTACTATTCGGTCTTGATCCCACATCCATTAGACACACAAGATTCACGTCGTCTCAACAGACACTGTGAGCCTTTTCTCAGACTTCAGTCTTCTTTCCTAACATTATAGTGGACTCAAGTTCCCTTTTCTGTGCTCCAATCGTAAGCTCATTGTGTGTGTATTTTTAGGTGTGACATCTTCTGTGCAGACATCAGGGACAGTCTGTTCGATTTTTGATGCTAATCCGGTAATCCATAGATTTTGCTTCAACTTTTGGATAGTACTTACTTCGATAAAATGATCTGTCCAAAAAACATACAGATAATATCACGTTTTCACTCATTATTTTAGTGAAATATTGCAACATGTTATAGGTTGCCGAATGTGAGAAGGCTGGCCCCGCGAGAACAACCAGTCTTCGCCTAGGAACTTCACGCGACTAATATTAGATATTGTACCCACAAAATATTAGTATTTGTTTATGAAGACCTTTCTATACTATCAACACAATATAATTTCCTTTCTCTCAATTCTCTCGTGAGTTCATTTATCTTCACCTTCGCATATCCTCTCCTTTCGATCGAAGTGCAGTGAATATCATGGTTGCAAAATTTACTACTGCCACCAAACGATTGTATATATCTGTTAAAGTCCTCATGTCAGCATTCATGGTTTCATCCTAATATAATGGAAGCTTATTTGCTGTTTTGCTTCAGTCCTCCTAATCGTCTCTCCATTCATTTCTATCGCCCGCGTAAGGTGTTCCCTGGTTCACACCATGGTTGAGAATTTCGTACCTACTTTTTCGACTGAATAGGAAGGAATAAACTCCCGATTATTGCACTGGGATCTGTCGAGATGTAGCTTCGCAGATAGGTGGGCTCCTTTCTTTTCAGCTCAAACATCCCCATTTGATTGTGAATAACTTTTCGGAAGTATAAAGTACTATTGAAAAGTGATGAACACCACAAGATACAAAGAGATGACATCAAGCATCAAATTATTGCTTATGTTCTTTTTCTCCTGTTGTTCCTGCACATCGTGATTGACCCACTGACTCCTGAGGATTCACCTTCAACTACAACTTGCAACATCGATTAGGAATAACACAGCATTTAGCACAGTACACTTTTCTACGTGACTTCAAAGTTTATTGTGAAGCATAGTAATTGAACGTGACACAGCTTTCCATAATGAAGTAAAGCCTTTTACCAATCTCAGTAGTGATTGTCAATAAGATATTGCCGCTCTGCTGGAATTGCGATCGTTGTCTTTTGCGACCATCTTAGAAACAGAGACAAGGAAATAGAGGCCTCAAACTAACTTAAGCTAAGATTGGATGAGCAGATGGTGCAGCGTTAAAAAGCCAGATGTTTTCAATAGGTTAGAATCACTTTTAGAATTGTTTAGGCTACCGGCAGCAGATGCTGCAGCATAGTTTCTGACGCCTACCTTGTGGATCCTGCACCGATTTCGGCCACAATGTATCATCTTTTGATCTTTATCATTTTCATTGATATTCATGTTACTTTTACGTAACGTCACACGTGGATTTTTTGTCCTTTCACGATCAACACCTATGTCCATTTTGTGTATAGCATTGAAAAATGTTCATTTTTTTGCAGTAGCGAACGAAACTTCGAAATGGTTGTCTTCCTCCCTGACTGTGTTCGTTGAAAAGAAAGCAAAAAGAAAATTGAAGTTAAAATCTTTTTTTTTGCCCTCCAGTTTTCTTACATTGCTCATTTTATGCTATGATTAGCTTTCAAGCCACCATCGGCCAGCCTAATCTTTTTTTCTTTTTAATCTTTGATCCCTTGTCACCCAAGTCATTTAGTGCAGTCATTAGTAGTTCTTACTTAGTGAGTCGCAAAGATAACAGCCGCTGCTGTGTTATTCAAATTTTCATAAGTGATTCTCAGTTTTATCAAATATTTCCTGCCATGTATGTACACGAAGGTCGTGCCGGATTGGTTGTTATGCTCGCCACGACGTGTGTGACCAATCTCCAACCCCTAGCACTCTCCGGTAATCATCGACGAACATCCTGTTGGACGGCACGTTTAAGCTATTACCGGGATCGCAAGGAGACTGGCTCAAACAATATTTTACGAATAAAAAGGAAGAGGACAAAATGAGCCGAATGCTAGAAATCCAAGAATTTACGAAATGAAGAATTCTAGAATATATGTGCAAAGAAAAACTAGGGATATAAGGGGTGGTTGATACATTGAAAAAGCACAATCCTTTTTGAGTGATTTTCTAAGTTATCAGAAATGGCATGTGTCTACAGAAGTTGAGAAAAGCACAATCATTATTCCATCAAGTTCGGATTTTTTAGCTAGCATGCGCTATATGCCT